ATATTTTAAGTATGTAAAAAATATATCTATAATATACTTAAATTTTAATTTAAATATAATTTAAGTATATTTTAAGTATTTGGGCAAAAATTAAATATATTCGAAATATATTTTAAGATAATTTTAAATACATTTTAAGTATATTATAAGTATTTCGCAATTTTTAAATTAAATATATTTTAAGTATATTTTAAATATATTTTAAAAAGTTTTTAATTATATTTTAAATATAAATACTTTTTATAGGATGATAAACTTTTGATTTACTTATTTAATGCATGAGTCATAAAACTTATATTTTCTTAACAGATTGTCATAAAATATATTTTCTTAGCAAATTGATTTACAATATATTAGTTAATAAAAAATATAATAGAGCTTTGATTTTTAAACTAACTAAAATATTTTTTTGGATCTTATCCTAAATCCTGAAATTTATAATCCTGACACTATATAATTCCAACTGTCAAAATTCTGAAATTGAAAATCCTGACATTTATAAAATCCTAACAGTCCAAAATTCTGACACTTAATATTTTACAAAAACAAATAATTAATATTCAAATTCAGTATTGCTATTCAATGTAAAGTTAAATTTTACTTTTAATTATTTAATTTTATATTACTTTTACAAAATATTAATTATTTCAAATCACTTAAAATTTGCAAAACATATATTAAAATATAATTTTTTATAAATATTTTTATTCAATTTTATTAGTATTAATAAAATTAACTTGCAATATTAAAAGTAATATAAAAATAACTAATATCCAAATTTAAATTATTAGTTAGAAATTACAATAAAGATTATGTGTAATTCTGCAGTTTTTTTTATTATTGCAAATTGTTATAATTCTTTTCTCTTTATCAATTAAGGTTTTTTTTGTTGATGATCTTTGTTCATCATGAATAATACATTCAATTTGTAATTTAACACTCTGTTATTTTTTTTGTAATTATTTAATCATAATATTAAACCTATATAGCTTTGACCAAGTAAAATATTCTAACACTTATGTCAGATTTTTGCAATATTTTGAGTTTATAGAATTTTTATTTTAATAGAATCATATAGGATTTCGCTTACTTATAATAAAGGTCACTATAGAAAATTGACTCTTTATTAATGATTTTTACTTTACTTTTTTTTAAAATTCTATTAGTTAATTAGTTAAAAAGAAAAAAACTATAATAATATAATATAAAATTTCTTTTTATAGTAGGATTTGCAAAGAATTTTATATATGATTTTTACCTTAGGCCTGGGGGTGACCTATCTTATAAGTAAGCAGATTCTAATTATATATTGACTACAATTGTGACAGAAATAAAAAATCTAAATGAATAGTATTACTATTTCTAAAATGCATTAACGTATCTTTTCATACACATAGATTTCTTCAAATTATTTAACAACTTCATTTATTTCTGAAGGCATCTCAAACAAGTGATATAGCATTAAACTAAACTGCTTATCATTTTCGTATTTAGTAATGAACAAGTCCATATGATTAGATTTTTTACGCTTAACTATCCTAAGTGAAAGAAATATCTTTTATTGTAAATACTAAAAAATATAAAACAGGATGCAATTATTGATGCTTGCTCAAAATCAGTTAAAATTATTGAGAATTATAAGTTAATGCTATTTTCTATTGCAAAATCAAATAATTCTTCAAATAAGCATCTATATATTTTTACTGATTTACTAGTTACTAATAAATAAACAAGAGGAAAAACTTTAGAATTATCTTGTCCAACAAGTGCATAGATTGTATATAGCTAGCTAAATATTATTGGAACTGTCTTAAAAGTCCTATCAGGACCCTAAACATTATTAAACCAACTCAGATCTTGTATAACTAAAATTTTAAAATGTGATATCTAAGTCAATATTATACCTAAAAAGATGAATTATATATCAAAATGTTCATCTCATTGAGACGAATTTAACAAACTAAAGATTATTAAAATCTAATTACTGAATCCTAAGATAGCAAAATTTGAAACTAAAATCTATATATAACTAACTTTATATATTTAAAAATTAAAACAGAAATTAATTATAAAGTTTATATAAATTCAAATCTGAGTTTTTTTTAGTAATGTTCAGGGTCCTATCCTATCCATCATTTAAAATAGAGCTTAAAACAAGTGCTGAATATTTGTTTGTATAGTAAATAATAAAATTTGATCTTTACTAATTATAAAATTTCTTACTAAAAATCTATCTTCATTAAAAGTAAACTGAAAAAAATCTGGAATATTAATTTCTTCAAGAAATTGTAAGAGTATCTCTGATTTTCTAACACATTAAATCTTTGAACGAAAAGAGTTAGAAAATAGTATATAGGAATAATATTCTTGAAATATTCTAACTACTATAATATCTTAAATAATTTGTATAGGCTTATTTCTTATTGTATGAACCTTCTGCTTAATTTGAACAATATATTTCACAACTTCTGCATTACTAACCTAAGGTGAATAATAATATTTAGTAAAATTTTAAGTTAAAGGTATAGTATTTTTAAATTCATAATTTATGCAAATATGTAACTTTTAAACAAATAAATATACATTTTTAATGATCATTAGAAATTTTTAAACTTTTTTTCATTAATACAGCTGTATAAACTATAAAGGTTAAAAGCATAAAAATTACATATTAAAATTTTAAGCATTATTATTATGTGTAATTTTAATTAATTAATAAAAATAAAGGAATTACTATTTTTATTTAACTAGTATAATAATTATTTATTAATTAATATAGTTGTATAAATGTTAGAAATATAAAATTTTAAGCATAAGTATATTATATAATATTTATATTATTATTTATTACACATTAAAATTTCAAGTATTGTTATTATATACAGTTTTAAGTAGAAAATTAAAATTTTCCGCTATAGTGGAGTTCTGCTAGTGTCACGTGACATGAATATCATTTTCTTTTTTGGAAATTTGTGTAACTCATTTGCATAAATAATTTTCGTTTTTCGTCAGAAGTAAAATTTCCTTTTTTGGAATTTTGTGTACCGTTTAAACCATCACCCTGTATCACACCCTCAAGCTTTCAAAAATTACTAAGTATTATTTGAACTTAGAATTTTTTTAATGAAAAAATCATATTTGTCACCTTATTCGTCACATGGTTAATTCCGGCCAAGTTCCGTAATTCCAGTCCAATCATATAATGTTACACAAATTTCCTAAAAAGGAAAATTTACTTCTGACGAAAAATGGAGCAAATTGGTTATACTAATTTCCTATAAAGGAAATGATCTTCGCGTCACGTGACACTAGCGGAACTCCGCTATAGCGGAAAATTATAAAATCCTTTTGAGTAATTGATAAAAATAGGATTCCTGCTACTTTTATTCAAATAATATAATTATATAACTGATGTAATAGTTCTAATAATTTAAGTATTAAAAGATCCTTTGATTAGAAATCTAATTATATTTTATAGATCATATAAATATTTTCATTTGAGGTATAGATAAGATATATCATCTTTACAATTTATTATATATAGTTGAAATTTTAATACAAATAATAGATATATTTAAATTTGTTGAAATATTATTAACAATACAGTTATGTAAAAAACAAATCTTACTCATTTTTTCTTACTTTACTCATTTACAGAATATCTTGCATTTCAATATTTCACTTCATTCATTGATCACCCACATGAAAAATAAGATGGAATATTTATTATATATAAAATCATCCATGACCAGTAATAAACACACTAATATTGATCTTGGTTACTGCAATGATAATTTTAAAGATTATATATAGAAGAGGTTCGTTTTTAATTATATAAATGCATATGATTTTATGTTAGTTAGATTTAATCAAAATTATGGAATGTTTGAGCGGGATGGCTTCTCCAACTACAAGAGTAATTAGGGATGATTCATTTATCTCTGTCTCAACACAAAAGACGTTGTCTTAACTAAAATTCGTGATTTTTATCAGCAAATCGAAGATTTTATTACAATGAAAATATTTAAATAGGCAAAGGAAGCAAATGGGCGGTACTCAAAAAAATAAATAATATAATTATAATAAATTTATTATAAGAAGGAACCCTGGTCCACAGGTACGCTGATGTAAGTCCCAAGACGTCGTCAGTGTCTTTTTAATTTGGAGGAGAGTCCACTCCAGCATGTAATAAAGTATTCATTGATCAATGTATTAAGTTTTATTTTTTTTTAGAAATAAATTGATGTAATTCAAGAATATGATAAACCATAAGACAATACTTTACTATAACGCATTATAACGCTAAAAATTAAGCTCTATCTAACCCATTCAAATTTCTCGACATTCAAAATAGTTAAAACTACACGTTAGGAAGTACTATAGTACAATATACAATATGAACTCAAATTATAATAATTTAGTAATTTCAATCTAGTTAAAGCTCACATAATACAATTTTTTTTTCTGTACATTAAAAATTCATTCCTTCGCTACAAACTATCAAAAATAGTACAACCTTATTTGATACTGCATATAATGGATAGCAATATAGAATTACCGCAAAAAAATTATATCAAATCAAACTCTTCTAATAAAGATCCGATCGGTTTAGCCTATTAAAAAAAAAACAACAAAAAATTTAATTATGGATAATAATAAATTCCAAAATTAAGTACAAATTTATCATACTTTAGGTTGGCCATTATTAGTTTTGAGGTTATTTTTGAATTCTTCTACTATTTGCTGCATATACCATCCTTCATAATCGATTTCCTGAAGTTCAGGTGGTAGCCCCGCCTGTGACGGTTTTATAATACTACATGAGTTATTTATGGGAGCCAAATCACTTGTATCCAGATCTATTAAAACCTTATCCTCACGGACAAATCGATCACCGACCAAAATAAACGTTGGCGCATTGTCTGGGAGTTTCGATGCCTTAGTTGTTATGTTATGATCATAATCAATCTTTCCGTTGAATTTTATGTTTAATTGAGAAGAATACTTCTCCTTGGTCTGGCTTTGTGAGATCGTAATTTGTGGCCCTTGTCGTTCAACCTTTTTTTCATCGATAGTTACGAACTGACTTCTTACGAAATGCAATAATTTATCGGACTCCCTTGCATCCCGATTGTTTTCAACCGTTGTTTTTTTATCCATCTTATTTTTTTCTATCGTTTGCTTTATATTCTCTTTTGATTTTGATATCTGGATGTTGTTTGAATCATTTGTTACTACTATTTCTTTATTTAGATTTGATTCCTCTAACTTAAACAAAAGATGAAGTTGTTCTTTAAGTGCTTCAATTTTTTTGTTAAAATTAGGTGTATTTGAAACCTGATCATCATAACTTGCGTCGGTGATTATATTTTGATTGGAAATAATTGGGTTATCGTGTTCAATCACCGTTGCTTTTGCCGCAATTTCAATAGCTTCTCTAAGTTCCTCAGATTCATCATAGCTACAAAATCCAATTTAACATTAAAGAAAATCAAAAATTTTTTTACAATATTACCATTTAATTTACCTATACAACAATTTCTTTAACAAAAAAAAAAAAAAGTTAATAAGGTTGGAAATAATATAAATAGAATGATAATTAAACCTACCGGATCGTCATCCGTAACAGCACACGTCACACATGATTTTTCACTTTCATTTGTTTCATTCTAATTTTAAACGCAAGACAGATTTAATATAAAAATAATTTCTTCCATAGCAATTCATTCATCCTATTTTTCAAAACGCATTACCTTATTAAATTTGTCATGCTTATCCTTATGTTTAATGTCAACATCGGTGTTTTTAGCTTCATTCGCGTCATCGATAGCCCCCTGTTCAATTCTTACAGCATCAATAAACTCCTCATTAAGCTTCCAATCAAGTTCAATTAAATACTCATTATTTACCGGCTTAGGCATAACAGTAAACGAATCAATTCGTATGTTTTGTCCATTATAATTTGTCTTAAGACACTTCGCTTCATGATTTGGATCTATGTCCTTGACAACCGAAAACTTCCAATTTGCATAGGGGTTGTCTTTACGAATGGGAATATTTTTTAGACGGAAACGATCGCTTTCCGTATATGTAGGACACTCGGTGTTTGTTAATATTGGATCAGCGATCTTTAATAAATTATGTATTTTGAATACTATAAAACAATTTTTTTTTTTTTTTTTTAAAAAAAAAAAATCACCGTACCTTGATATCAACGTTTCTATCAGCCAAAACATCTTTCTTCTTAATATATGGGTTTTTTTTGTGGTACGGGGTTTGTTCTCGTTTTAAAAGATAAGGATTTTCTTCTCTATATGGATTTTTTTCTTTATATTCCCTCCATGACTTGAACCTCTTTTTCTCAGAGTTCATGTCGCACAATTTATTTGATAATCTCCTTGTGATAACGCAGGAACCAACAAAAAAAAAAAAAAAAAAAAAATCTTTTCAGGTAATTTTTTTATTTTTTTTATTTTTTTATTTTTTTTGAGAAAAAAGGGTGATAGATGTTGGATAATTTTGATAAACAACTATTTTATATCATACAAGTTTAATTCAATGAATTCAATGCAAATAATTATAGTAATCATTTACAATTATAATCAACACTTGATCAGTAACCTCTTTCGTTACATTTTCACCACTTAAACTTCCTTATTTCAAGTAATGAATCAATGAATCATGTATTTTATTGTGTACACATTACATACATTACATCATGATTATACCTTATCTCAATATTAACTCTCGTGAGCTATTGCTATAAAAGAGAGATTTTCCCCAAATTTTTTGTTTTAAGTAAGAAACTGGTTTAGTATTGTTTTTTATTAACAATTCCTTCATATATTCTTTTTATGCCAAATGGGGTTATTTGGACAATGTTTATCCCCCTTTTATGATTAAAAGAAGGGGTAATAAAACTGTAATAAACAATAATATGATTATTTTTGCGGCTTTCATAGATATTATTGAAAGGTAAGATAATCATAGTCAAGAACTCAAAAAAACTGATTGGTCGTTTTACGAATTTTTAAATTTTAATGATTCCTGTTTATTTTGAAGTTGATCTTTATATGTCCTTTTTTTACCTGATTGGCATGGCATAACTTCTGAAAAAGCACACATATCAAAAGTCAAAATTTTGAATAATTCTATGTCGGTGTTATTGTATGTTGTGTTAGGTATGGATAATTCTCAAGAAAATCTCCCAGTAAGGAATTTTGATGAAAATAAAATAATATTGTAACTGGTAATAGTATAAATTGATTTTTATGCTTATCATTGAAAATCACGTCATAACTTGGCATAAACACCTTAAGGGCGGCTGGGCAGAGTTAAAAAATTTAGCCAGAATTAACTACGGAACATGATCATATGAATCTCGATACATCGTTCAAATCTTCGTTGAAATATCGTAAACGTGAAATTCTTTGGTATCATACTCTCTTGGAGAATCTAGTTATGAAGAGAGAAACAAACGTCCGAAAATATTAACATATTAATTTAGGTCAAAATCGTAGAATTTCCCGAAAATGTCCGAAAAGTGAATATATCAAATAGAATCCGTTATTAAGTCCGAATGTTGTACAATGTCACATGCGAAGCAAAAATATCATTCTTAATATGTTTATATTAAAAGATATATATTTGTTTTATTAATGATATATCAAGAATGGCGGACATCATGAACGTTTTGCGTAGAAATATATAGTCCTTCGTTACACTTTAGGCTAAAAATACGCTAAAAAGATCACTTATCAGATATTTTTCCGAAATTCATTTTTTATAGGGCTTTTTACCCTTTTTTATCATGTTTTTCAGACTTGTTGATTAAACGTATTGACATTGTTGATGTCATAAATTTATAACATCATTTGATATTTTTGTAATTTTGAATTGCACTAAAATTGATTTTTTATTTTCGGACGGTAAACAGTTACCCGGATATCACACAAACTCGAAGCTTCTGGGAAGTAGGATACTAGGGGTACAAGATATTAACTAAACCTGCTTATAATTTCCCAAATGAAATTTTAATATAGAGTAGCACAATATTCCCAAGTACAATACAAATTAAACGGAAGTTTTCATCTATATTACTTCAAAATAAAGTACCATACACCATATGTACTATTACAGTTGTAACATATATTTCAATCGACATCTTTCTGACATAAAATTTTCCCACCTAATTTTTTTTAATCAATCTTTTCTTTTGTCTTTTTAGGAGAAATTGCTAGCAAATATGGAAAGTAAAAAGGACGATATCGTTCGATACATAATCATTGTCGATCACCATCATCTAAATCATTATGTTAAAATTAATCAGCCAAAGTGGGATGACCAGAAAATATATTGTTTTATTTATCATGACATGATTTTCTCTTATACATGTACATCATTATATGTGGGCTGATTAATTATACTAACTTACTAACTTATTATAGACTGATTACATATGAATTTCTAAACTATAAAAGTGATGGTTTTCCTTTCTCAAAAAAAAAAAAAAAAAAAAAAATTATTTTAATAATCATGTCTACTACAACAGCTCAAACAGCCCAAACAGCTCAAACTCAACAAACTGACAAAACGGAAGATACTGTCCTTACAACTACACAGGATGCAGAAGCACAATCTCCAATTACTCGTGTAGTCGTAATGGCTATTGACCAATCACCACACAGCCAACAAGCATTTGATTGGGCACTCAAAAACTTTTTACGAAAAGAAAGCGACCTGGTAAATTAAAAATTAAATATTTATATGTGTGTGTATATATAATCCTTAACTTTGCTAAATATTATCTAAAAAATTTTTTATAGGTTGTGCTTGTCAATGTTCGACCTATTCCATCAATTCCTGGTCCTTATGGTAATAAAATCGTAATTGAAGAAGATGCGTTTAAATTAAAATTTTTTAATTAATCATTATTATTATTTATAAAATTTAGCAATCGGAGCAAGTTACATGGATTTTAGTGAAGTTGTAACAAGTATAGAGGAGCAGGTGATTGTCAATTCACATTTTTAATATAACTTTATTTAAATTAAGGATATTAAATTCATTTTTTATTTGCCTATAGCATCGAGTTGCCAGTCATACTTTGCTGCAGGATTTTGCTGCGAAATTAAAGGCTCAAAATGTTTGTATTTTTTTTTGATGTACATAATGTCCATATTTATTGGACTTCATTACTAACATACAAATTCTTTTCGATTTCAGTTCGCGTGCAAAGCTATAGCTATGAGAGGAGATGCGCGTGATGAAATCGTTCGCAAAGTTGCAGAACTCAACAGTGATGCATTAATAATTGGATCACGTGGTCTAGGTGTTTTGAAACGGTAATTACTTATTTTAACTCTTCGAAATTTTTATATTATTAGCAAATTTTAACGGGCTTCTCTTTTTTTTATTGAAAAAATTAGTACAATTTTAGGTTCAGTAAGCGACTATTGTAGTCATCATTGCCATTGTACCGTAATTATCGTAAAGGAACGACAGGAACAACATGAGCAACAAAAGGATAAATAATCTTTCATAATTATAATCTTTCGTAATTTCATTTTTTGCTAGGAATTCTCAAATGTATGACAGATGATAATAATAATATTAATAAAATTTGTAATTATATTTCATGTTTGATATTTATTTATTATTATGCAGCTAAATTAGGATTATGTCGTTTTTTAACATATTGATATTTTTTACACATTATTGTTTACTATGCTTTTTTATATGATCTTGGATTATTGGGTAGGAGTTGTTAAAATATCACCGAGCACCTAAGCAGTTCGGATGATATTTTAACCACAATACCCAATAACTAATACTTATCACTCGAAGAGTAAGTGATTGATTAAAATGCACATTTTTTTAGATTAAGTTATATATAATTAATAGTTACTCGCCGAGTAACTGTTGTATTTGCAATAAGCAATATGATTGGTGGAATTTGCTGAGCTGCGCTCAGCAAATTCCACCAATCATATTGCTTATTGCAAATACATGTAAAGGCACGATAGTGCCGCAGTTATGAGGTCACGTGTGCCGAGTAACTGTTTTATTAGGCAGATATTTTTTTAATAATATATAATCCGGTCACATTGGATTATAATATTCTGTCGCATGTTGTTATCCTAATCAATAAACAATGTGTTTTTTTATATTATGATTTGAATTAGGGAATTTGAATTATTCCTTAATCTTTTAAAAGAATTTTTATTAATAATATATTTATGTCTACATTATTTATTTAGTAATATAGATGGATGTTCCTAGACATAAATAAAGTTCTAACAATAATACACAACATCTTTAGCAAACTTTCAGGATTATTATTATATGCACAAATATATATATAATAGATAAAAAAAGACAAAAAGTATTGATTGAAATAAATAAATAAAATAAGCACAAATATATACCGTTCCGTTTTGAAACAATTCGCTCTTTTGTAAAAACAGCTTTGTTGTTTCGGACTTTTCGGCTAAAATACTACGGAATATTCTTACAAAGTATATATTATAGGCTTAGTGATTGACATAATCATATACGTCATAGACGTCACACAAACTTAGGAATGATTGCGTCATGACGAACTCAGTCATGTACGTCACACACTTATGAGAGATTGAACAATTAAAATATTTGCAAATGTCTTGCAAAAACTTCCTTTAATTTTAAAACTTTAAATGAATTACTTAAATTACAATTTAAAGAATACTACTATATTCAATAAGTAATAAAACAATTTAAAAAATCTTTATTATGTACTAATATGGTCGACTTAGGAATATAAACGAATTTTAAGTTTTAATTATTTTATTGACTATTTTAGGTTAATTTTGTAAATTCTTTTTTGTTAACTTAAATTGGATTTTTACTTATTGACACAAAATATCGAAACTTAAAAGCGCCCAGGGCCAATTGATATACACAATAACCGATAAATTAGGGACAAAGAACCAATAATAATGGTTACCAATATTTAGAGCAAATGAAATCACGATAAGAAAGGTACAGATCATACCTAATAATATCACAATGCATATAATGTGTTACTTTGTAATACCCGAATAATATACTATGTTGAAAATTACTAAAGGGGAATTAAATAATCTCTTTGTTCATGGGGTTATGAGAAAATTTTTTGTATATCTTCACTATCTTTGCCCTCATAAACTCATAAAGAAAAAAAATTGGATTACCTGTTTAATCATGATTACAGTTTTTCATAAGAAATGATGCTTAAATGTTTATTTTTCATTATTGATTATTTAACTTTTGTAAGAATTTTTCGTATGATAGCGGAATTCAATATACCCCCAAAAAAATATTTCTTTTTATGCTTATTCACCATAAATAAATTAGATTAAATAAGATAAATTAGATAACTTGGATAAATTTTTAATAATTAGAAATTATGATTTATTCGGACTTTTTAAACTTTCGAATATACTTTACTGTATGATCATCATAAGTAGTACATTTCAATATTAGGCCGAGACGCCACTACGGTTTTGGAGTAAAAGGGTTTCATTGATAAAAATACTTTTTATTTTGACTAAAATAAGTAATCATGTGGAATATTTAATTATTAACAATGGAATCATCGATTATACTCACATAAATATAACATAAATATAAAGTCTCGAATTTCAAAAAAAAAAAAAAAAATTATTTTGCGCGGGAAAAATTTCTTTCTTTCATTTAATTTTAATTTTTTTTTTTTTAAAAGAAAAAAAAAAATCATTTATACCTATATATATATATATACACAAAATATATAGTATATATTCGTTTCCTTTCTCTTAAACTTCATCATACATCACTTTACAACTAGTTTTCGCTCTTATATTCGTTACACAATTAAATGTCTTTAATGTTGTTCTAAATACATCCATAATATTTTTTATCAATTTTTTTCAATTTTCTCCTTTACGTTTAAAAATAAAACCCCCCAAAGCTGCGCTTTCAAATCAAAAATGACTCATTTTTCAGATTTTTCATTCCTTGGTAATTGTGATTAAATTTTTTATTTTAATATGAGGGAAAAAAAATTATCGTGCTATTTACTTATTCTTGGTTTTTTATTTTTTTATTTTTTAGCCCGAGCAGTTTCAGATTTTTGTGTATTAGTGTGGTCATTAATGCACATATATAATATTGACAAATTTGAAGCATTACGATGGAAAACTATAAAAAGAAAAGAAGTTAAATCCATAATGACGATATTATTCCTACTTTCAGTAACATCATTATTAATTTATGATATCATCTGTACGAAAATAAAATATACGGAAGGTTTCATTGTTGATCCATTGACAAAAACTATTATCGGTAAACCAGCAGAAGAATGGTCACCAGAAAATAAAAGATTAAGACATATTGCAAATCGTTTACTTATGCTTTTTTATGCTATGGAAAATTCTGCAGTATTTTTATTACAAAATTTTTGGAATTATTTGACCAATAAAATAGTTAAAGCACAATTTATTACTACTTGGCAATTTCGTATAAATTATGCTTTTATCTTTATTACTTTTGTTGTGTTTAATGGTCTTCCTTTCTTTTTTGAAGATGATACTGATGATAAATTGGATTATTCTGACATTGAAGAAGTAAAAAAAGCACTTAAAAAACATACTTACGGAGAGGTAATTATTGCATAGTATTATATATAACAATAATAATAATAATTCGTTTCCTAATAATAATTCGTCTATCTTTTAGGTCATTCCAGAACTAGCAGCAGCTTCTTGTAATTTGGTCGTTTTAGCTTACGCTTTAATGGCTCACTATAAATTCTCTACCCTTATTAAACAAAATAGTAAAAATTATATAGTGGATCGTTTAAAATATTATAAACATATGAATTTTTTATTAATTTTAATTGTGGCTTTTGGTGCTGGTTTAATGTTTACTTTTTGCATTGATGGTCTGAGTGAACGACAATATTTAAATAGAAATAAATTTACTGCCGATTTATTTGCTGGAATAGTGAATTTTTTCATGGCTACTTTTTGGATCGTTTGGTGTAAGTATTTAATACATATATCGTATATTTACAATATGTTAAAGTTATATAGTAATTTATTATTTTTTTTTTTTTTAATAGTGATGATATTTTATCCACGACTCGTTCCAACGTACAGTGGCAAACAATATAATGACTTCTCCTCCAAATTATCATCTCCATTAACTTCACCAACTTCCGATTCCCATAGTCTTCGTAAAGATAATTCTAGTCATAAAAAATCTCTTAGTGTTAAACGTATTGAAATTAAAATTGATTCTACTACAACGATGAATACCGATCAAGTGACTTACAGAAACGAATATAATAATAATATTAATGGTTATAATAATGAAAGATATAATAACATACAAACCGATGGTTATATACAATTACCTTCACCTTTGGCTACCAATAACAAACAAATTATTTCATATACCGGTTCCCCAAGGAGATATGATCATTTTATTTAAAATAATTATTATTATAAAATTTTGTAAAATTTTTTAGTTTTGTATTTTGTACATTAAAATAATTTAATTATATATTATATATTGTAATTGTAAAGAAAAAAAATCAACACTTTTTGATTAATTATTAGTAATGAATAGCATTTATTGTATAGATAAAAAAAAAAAATGATGAGATTCTTTCTTCTTTTTTAAATTATACCATATATTATTATTATTATTATAAAATAAAGGACATCTTATCTTTGAAATATAATTTATATAAAAAAAATATAGAAAGAATGTATCTTCGTACGCAATAATATGACTTTAAGCTGTGTTCAACAGCTCGTGAACCTTCGACAAATGTAGTTAACAAATGTAACACAACCGAGTTTGATTTTTTTTCGTGTTGTTCATAAGGTACACTCGGTAAAGTTAGCACTAAGTCACTAACTATTTTTCTATGATAATAGTTTCTTTATGGTTAAGAATGTAATAAAAAAAAATAGTTTATGATTGGATGCATTTAAATAATTTATTAAAATGATCACTATAAAGATATTCATAAGAAAGAATAATAAGAGAAACTAAGACTATTATAAACAAGAATCATTTTTGTTATTCGGATTAGGAAATGTTTTATATATTGTTCATCATTTCAAATACTTTTTACCGATCTGCAAGCACATTTTAGTTTTCATGTTATGTAATTTTAATTATGTAAAAAAAATATATATATAATAAAATACAATATATGATACCATTTTAGGTGGTTTAAATGCCAAGAAAATCTCAATCTTTTTCTACTAAAGTAAGGAAAGAATTTTGATAAATTTAAATAATATAGGATTTTTTTTTTTTGCTAGAATGTAACCAACTAATTCCCCTAAATTTTATCAGCAGTAAAACTGATAATTTTGGTATTACTGTAATAATCAGCCAAAACTTATTTGGGGTGCACAAGAATGCACGAAGACCCTATAAAACGTTATTTTCTGTAAAAACTCCATAAAAATGAGCCATTCACGGATTCATTCACGGAAAACATAAATAATTTGATAAATTTCCGTGATATAAGGTTATTAATTCCGGAAATATGAGCAAAAAAATCGAATATAAAAAACGGATGGACTTTTTTTTACAGGGATTTCTTTAATATATCTTTATAACTTAATTATCTTAATTATTTTTTAAGGTAGTACATATGTAACAGCATTATTGAAGCAAATGTGTCTAAAATTAATTCTTTAATCTCAAATGAAATTCCATCTGGCAAATATTTTGCATTGCTCAAATTACAATATTTTAATTTATAAAAGCGACTTTGAATGGCGTGTTTGGAAAATCAAAGATGATACTAATTTATTCATAATTTAGATTGTCTGGCATTGTAAAGTAAAAAAAAAAAGAATAAAAGTATCAACATGTGTAAATTTATTTTAATTAAACCGATATAATCTCCTGCCTTCTTACGGAGATTAATTGACTAAAAGGAGTTAATTGGCAGGTAAGCAGGTAAACTAATTTAATTAGTTAATCTTGTCACCGAAATGTAGTATATACGGTAAGTCTGTGGATCATATTATGTAACCCATACATGTACCGACTGTACTCGTATTATAACAAGTTTTGATATAAGATTTGTTCATTTGCATAAAAGAAAATTGATTCGCTAAATAAAACACTGGAGAATGTAAACTCCATTGGTTTATCTGGCGACTATATATGCCGAAAACCGCGATATGCAGCAGTAAAATGATTGATATAATAAAAAACAAAAAAGGAAATATACTGTTATTTTAGGCATAGGAGAATTTGTCCCACTTTATTATGTTAATGATTGAATTTAAATTGCCAAATTCGCCAAACGTCATGCAATGGTAACAATGAAAGTCAAATGGGTATATATATAATAACCATCAAAAAAGATTTTTTTAGGTAGAAGAAATTCTTTCTTCCCATTTGATATAATATCATTAAATCTTTTTGTTATAAAAAGATGAATGTTATATTTTTATTTATATTCCTCGTAGGAGGATTGAATTTTTTTTATGAACAAATTAAAGTAAATGCATTACCCGCATCGTCTCCTCTACGAGGTAATTATCAATTTTAAACTGTATATGATTCAATAATAAGTCATCGTCTATCTTTACATTAAATGATTCTATACATATTAACAAACTCATCTAATTCTCTCTTATAGCACGACAAGATAATTCAGATAATTCACTCGGAACATGGAAGATTGTCGGAGAGTAAGTAGCAAGATATGTTATCTGTACGTAATAAACTTTTTTAATTTAATATTTTTTTACTATTCGATTAACTGTATAATAGTTCCGGAGTCAGTGCCATGCATGCCGTCTTGATAGCTCCCAGAAAAGTTATATTCATAGATAGACGTAAACTTTTCAAATTTTATAACATATTTATTTCGTTGAATTTTTGTTAATTTAGCTAATTTAATCATTTATTGTTTTTTTTTTCTCTTTATATAGTTGAACAAAATCATTTAAAGAGACCGGATGGGCTTGCTGCAATATCATCAGAATATGATTTAGATACAAATCAAGCTAGACCACTCACAGTTTATACAAATACATTTTGTTCGGCAGGTTCCTTCTTAGGCAATGGAACTTTAATTGAGGCAGGGGGAAGTGGTGGAGATGATCTTAATTATCGTAGCGGTTTACAAACACTTCGTATATATGATCAAGGCAAAGGAGATTGGATCGAATTAGAAGGAGTTTTACCATCAAATAGATGGTATCCAACTATGATCACTTTACCTGATGGTAATATTCTTATACTCGGGGGATCAACTGGTTCCACAGGAGTTAATAAACTAGAAATAAATAATCCAACTTATACAATATATCCACCTCCAAGTGGAGTTTTTATGCAAGATTATAATTTTGACTTTTTAGCTACTACATTACCATATAATCTTTACCCGATGTTACATTTAATTCCAAATTATGAGGGAAAAACTCTACTTTTTGTACTCGCTAGTAAACAAGCCATTGCTTATGATCTTGGTATCGGTAAAACTGTAATAACATATCCAGATTTGCCGGGTGGGTTTCGCTCATATCCATTAACTGGTACTTCTATAATGTTACCACTTTCACCAACCGATTATTACAACCCAACGGTTATGGTTTGTGGTGGAAATAAAGCTCAAGAAATTACATCAGTGAGTGAAGCTACTTGTGGAAGATTAGATCTAAATAAACCAAATGCTCAATGGGAAATGGATAATTTTGGTGGAACACCGCGTGTTATGCCTGATGCTGTTTATTTAGTGGATGGATCCATCATGTTTGTTAATGGTGGCGGATCGGGTTATGCTGGCCTTCGTAAAGGGAAAGGCGCAAATGCATTATTTGTTGCTAATGATCCCGTATTATTTCCTTATCTTTATGATCCATTTGCTAAAACGTATAAGGCTCTTGCTTCGTCAACTATACCTAGAATGTATCATTCTATTGCTACTTTGTTACCGGATGGTAGTGTCCTTGTTTCTGGAAGTAATCCATCTAATGCCGTCACATTAGATGTTAAATTTCCGACTGAGTGAGTAACTTAATAATTTTTTTTCTTTAAATAAGAAAAGATTATAAAATTCTGATCTTCTGTTCCTTCCCTCTTTAGATACCGCGTTGAAATTTTTTATCCACCTTATCTTTATTCAACAATCCCTCGTCCAACTATTCTTTCTCTTGAATCATTTCCAATTAATCAACAAAGAATTAAAGTATCTTATAATCAAGTAATTACTTTAGTTATACAACTTAAATCAACTGATCCACCGAGTTTAAAAGCTACCATTATACATCATGGATTTGTCACACACTCAACAAATATGAATCAGCGTTATGTTTACCTTGATATTGAAGATTCTTATGTTGATAAATCAGCTTCTGATCAATATATTTTAACTCTTAGATTACCCCCAAATCCTACAATAATCGCTCCTGGTCCTCATTACATATATATATTTAATTATGACGCTCCTTGTGTTAGTGGTGTTGAAGTTTTACTCAATTCTCAATGATCAACTTAAAAAATGATAAGGTTTTTTTTTGAGTACTGAAATTATAGATTTTAATTGCGAAGCATTTAGACTTTTTTATTGTTAAGTTCACATAATAAGAATACAAGAATTAAACATGAAAAATTAAAATTTGATGAGATTACAATTTTATTTTGCCAATTATAATTCCAAGCATTATATTATAATTGAAGGACGGAATTGGTACAACCCAAAATCATATATAATAATATAGTTATACTTAACAAAATTAAAATAGAGATCAAACCTTCTTTTTTTTCATTAATAATAATAAAAAGTAAATTAATTAATTTTTTTGAATATAAAACGACCCCCTAAAATTTGCAAGATACGGGTACTATGACCCGTGATACTGTATAATATGCCTATATGGTAATACAAAATATTTTTAATATTTAGCTTGTTTAGCTGAATTGTATGTAATGTATACGCAGCTACAGTAAAATGATGATCTAAACCAAGCGTAACAAAAGGATTTAGGAAAATTTTTAAAGAATTTTATCTTAATGTATCAAGTTGTAGTAACGTTGATAAACCAATAGTAAAGATTTGCATCATATATCATTATAATTGATGCATTGAAAAAAAAAAATTATTATAATTGAACTTTTTTATAAAAAAGGAAAAAACTAAGCTGGATTATACAATAATTAATGAATATTTAAGAATTCTAAATATCTTTAATATAAGCTATATTTGGATTTTTGTAAAATTAACTTAAACTCATAATTTAAGTTTCAGTAAATTAAGCCAAATTTATAAAAACATTGTGTTTTTAAGTTTTTGTAAAGAGTTTTTTTTATTATTATCAGCAGTGATTATCACATGATTTTTTAATTTTGGCTAAAATTAAGTGATTGAATAATTAATATAAAATTTCCCTTTTTAGAAAGTAACAAATAAGTCTATTCCTAGAATACATAGTAAAAACAAAAACAAGTAAGGTGTAATATAATATAACAAATTATATATTATTAAAAAATTATGTAATACTAGTTTGGAAAATCCAAAAAATTTTTATATAGGTAAAATTCCAGAAATATTTTTTATTAATAACTTTAAGCAAAAGTTTTTATTATAATTATTAAACATTATTAATATCTAATTTTAAAAATTATACTTAATTTTTATTTTTAATTTTTTTAATTTTTTTATAATTATTTGGGGCTGATTTGTCTACCTTTAATTAAAATATTGATTTTATTACATTTTTATTATACAAAATACTATATAATATACAGTAAATTGGGAGTGAATAGAATATATTGAAACCGAAAATAAAGGGACTATTTGGCTGGAACAAATAGCTCTAATAGAAAGGACAACATTAATATAATAACTTATACAATGCTACATTTATATCGAACATTAGAATACAGAATAACAAAAACAAAAACAAAAACAAAGCTAACATAGAAAATATAGACAGTTTTTTATATAGTCAACGAATACGGTATGAGGAACAACAACAAATAGATTTAGACGCGTTGTACCTTACACTCCACATTGGAACCCATAACATTAACGGATTGGCAGGGGACAATGCAAAACTTTATGGAATTCTAAGTTGGATGCAAGAAAACCAGATAGACATTATGGCCTTGAATAAAACTAATTTAGACAAAAAAAACGGGTTTTTCAAAAAGCCTAATAGTCTTAAAGAGCAATTTCATATATATTGGTCAAGCAAAAAGAACGACAAACATAAGGGTTCTGGAGTAGCGTTAATTTGCTAAAGGAAATGGAATAAACATTATCAAGGACACAAATTCCATTCACCATATCTACTCTCAGCATACTTTCTGTTCAGAAATGTTTTATTCTGTATATAGATTGTTTACGCATCACCACAAATTAAAACAATCCTTCACGATACCCTGGAACTACTTAAAAGGGAAATGAGCGACGAAACTATAAAAAAAAAATCAAACAATATTGTACACATATTAATAGGAGATTTTAATTTGATCTCAAATGGTCATATTGATCGTACACCACTGCAACATATATCAAAACCCAAAATTTTTAATGATCTTAAGGCAATGGGTCTTATAGATTCTTATAGAAAGCTTAATAAAGAAGTACCAGGAAACACTTATCACAGAGAGGGTGTAAGCACGAGAATAGATCAGATTTGGATATCAGAAAATATCAGTAATAATTTAATGAATTTCTCAATTACCCCCTCAACGTTTATCACATATAGTGACCATAATATAATTACATTAACCATGGACTATACATGGCCTGGTAAATCATTGGCCAAAAACGTAATTCGTAATTCGAAATACGTAAATAATTACGTATTTCGTAAATAATTACGTTTACCGTAAATAATTACGTTTAACGTAATTATTTATGACTTCGTAATTAATCAAATGTACCCGTAAATAATTTACGTTTACCGTAATTATTTACGATGTACGTAATTACGTAATTGATCGGAATAGATTTGATTAGATTATCAATTCCAATCATTAAAAATGTACTCTTTTTTTTTAGATTGTATTTTTTTTATTTAATAAATAAATAAGTTTCGGCTTCCAGGAATCTGCGGGTAAGTATATGGAGGCGGGCTCTTTTGAAATTTACTTTGAAGAAACGTACTAACGTTTCTTTCTTTTTATTTTTTGTAGATTTCGGTTTCTATAAAGAACACGGGTACGTGTATAGGGGCGGATTCTTTTGAAATTTACTTTGAAGAAACGTACTAACGTTTCTTTCTTTTTATTTTTTTTTGTAGATTTCGGTTTCTAAGAACACGGGTACGTGTATAGGGGCGGGTTCTTTTGAAATTTATTTTGAAGAAACGCGGGTACGTGTATAGGGGCGGGTTCTTTTGAAATTTACTTTGAAGAAACGTACTAACGTTTCTTATTTTTTGTAGATTCGGTTTCTTAGAACACAAGTACGTGTATGAGAGCGGATTCTTTTGAAATTTGAAGAAACGTACGTTTCTTTCTTTTTATTTTTTTGTAGATTTCAGTTTCTGAAAATCTTAAGCATTATTAAAGTAAATTGTTAAATTAGATCATTAAATATTATTAATCTATTTCGTTAAGCATTAAATAAAAACTGTTAAACATTAGTAAAATTATACAAAATTGTTAAAAATAAATTAAATGAAATAATGTATTAAATTATTGTCTTTAAAATAAATTAAGAAGAAATTCTTCATGTTAGAACGCAAAATTGTTAGAAGCTTTTATTCAAAATTTTGAAAGAAATAAAACAAATCAAAATATACAACAAATGAATATGAGTTATGGACTATCTAAACGTTAACATCATCATCTTCACTAAATTGTTGGTCTAATAATTTCTCTATATCGAAATTTTCGTTACCGTGGTCAACAATATGATCAACATTTACGGGTTCAATAACTACTCGCGGCTCCTGAAGTTTTAATAATTCCACTAGCTCCTTTGATACAAAATTAAAATAGTTTTCACTTTGTAAAACACTATCGTTACTTTTATGCCCAAATTTTTCATACTCTTCTATGTCAACAAGTTCGTCTTCTGTATCACCATAATCTTCGTCTTCATTATCTAATTCTTCCTCTCCAATTTCATCATTAATATTTTGATATATACCATTTCTTACCAATTGATAAAACTCTTCATCATTCTTGACATTCATATCTCTAGCCGTATACTTTAATTCAGTTTTCGCGTTTGAAACATAATATGTGTGAAGTTTCGTAAGATTTTGTAAATGATTCACACTTAATCTAATTGAAAGGAATTACTTAAAATTTAAAATTCAAAAAAAAAATTAATAACTAGCAACAATAAAATAAATATTTACCGTGTTCTCCTTTTATTCATATACCAACCCATCACGGAAAATATTCTCTCACATCCTGCATTGTGTGGAGTTATTGAAAATATTTTTAATGCAAGTTGTTGGATAAAATTTTCTTCTCCTTCATCTTGTTCTACATAACTCCACAAAAAATCAACTGTATAATATTTAGGAACAAATTCATCATTATAAGGAGGAAGATTATCACGAAAAGCAGCAATTTGCCCAATTAATTTGGAACTGGAATTTTCTCCGCCTCCCATTTTTATCCATATATTTTCAATTGCCCAATAAACTACTTTACGGCATACTTGATTTCAGAATCCTTTACCTATGATATTTTAATTAATTAATAATTAATTAATTGTTAAATAAGGTAAAAATCATCATTTTATTTTATCAAATACGTACCACGGTATAGTGGGTGAAGTAAATAGGCTAACATATATAACCTAAAATCGAACTGCATCCACCTTTTATTAAATGCTTTAATGCATTGTTGTCGAAAAGTAGTATGAGTTTCTGATAAGCTTTTGATTGAATATGACAATTTTATTAATTGTAAGAAACAATCTGCTAACGTTGCATTTTTCATTTCTAAATATTTGATGGCTTCTTTTATTGGCTTAAGAATTAATTGTAATTCTTCAATATCCATAAAAAAACGCCTCGTAATAATTTCTTTGATATTTTGCTTTAGGTAATTCGGGTTATTATTTGCTATCTAAAATTAGATAAATTTATTAAAATTAATTAAAAATAAATAATTAAAAATAATCAATAAATACCAACATTTTTTAGAGCTTCTTCGCATCTTAAAACTGAAGAAACACAATCACATGCAGTCATCCATCTCGTTTGACAATACCCCTTTAATTTACCACCTTTAACCATATTTTCCTTTATTTCATCTGTTAATTCTGCACCTGCCCGATGAGATGCTTTAAAAAAATGAACTAATTTCATACATTTTTTTAATATTGATTGGGCAAACTCTAATTTACAAATATCATTGGTTAATAGATTTATATGATGTGCAATGCACCGAATTGGCATTATAAATCCATATCGATCGTTAACTAGCTTTTTTGCCATGACCATTGTAGATGCATTATCTGATACTATTCCTGCAAATTTTGTAACTCCAACATTTTCAATTACCTCAATTATTTTATTTGCTAAAAACTCTCCCGTATGTGAATAGTTTGATAAATTTTGAACTGAGTGAATATATTCTTTTCTTTCACCAGTAATAATAACAAATGCATAAAGTGATTGTCCACTAGTACTCGTCCAACCATCTACTCCTTTAAAAATTAAGAAATTACAATTAATAATTTAATTTATTATATTTTATAATAAATTATTATTACGTACCCAATGTAAGATTTTTTTCATTATTTAATTTAAGATTTATTTCAGTAATAACATGTGAAATTTCCGCATTAAGCATATCTTCTGTAAGAGTTTGTCTACA